CCCCCACCCCTGCCTCTTGCCCCGAACAGGTAGGGGGTTTCTCAGCCCGACAGTCCCAGCAGCAGAGAGAAATCCTCGGTTTTGAGGTGCAGCCACCAAAGTACAGAGCTGCTAAGGAAACTGGGTATCTAACTAGGCACCTGTAAAGGTAAGCAGCCTTTGCACAACTCGAGAAGATCCTGGGGTGGGGCTTCTGGCAGCAGCTTGTATCAAACAGCCTCATCCCTCATGTCCTCAGAAATTTGTTGTTTGCTTCCTGGACATGAATGTTCAAAGTACACCAAAGACCCCAAAATAGCTCTGCTAGCACTACAGTGTGCAACACAGCCCTGTGCGGCAGCAGCGCGGTGCCCGGCCTCGACCCTCAGCCTGCTGCCAGGAGTCCAGAGGTGCCGCAATCCCCATCCTCTCCCCAGGCTCATCTACCCCTGCCGCAGCCTGTGCGAAGCCGTCAAGAGAAGCTGCGCACCCGTCATGGCTTGTTACGGCTACCCCTGGCCTGAAATCCTGAACTGCAACAAGTTTCCTGCAGATCACGAACTGTGCATCGCAGCAGTCTCCACGGATGAAAATTCCTCGAGCAGGAGAAGTAAGGGGCTTTTTTCTCATGTTTTCCCACATGTAACACTGAAAGCTCGAAAGGATGGGCCTATGCCTTGCTTCTATTCCTAATATTTCTGGTTTTAAGCTATATTTAAAAAAAAAAAAATTTATAAACTGTAGTTTTGTTCTCTCTTGGAACTCCACTGTGACTAGAAAATTAGCGTAACATTGACTGCAGCTTGTTCCCCTCTCTACTGTAATTCATTAGCTCCCCGGGTGCCATCAGGCCATGCAGGGTTTGGGGCAGGGGGAAGGAATTGCTGTGAAAGCCTAATGCCCAGGCACAGCGTGAGAGCTCGTGGTGTGCAGGCTCCAGGCGGCGAGATGTGCTTCCAGTGGAGCTAAGGAGCTGCAGCCCTGACCTTTCAGCTGTGTCCAGGGCTTAAAAACATACAAAAAGAAGTGTTTTGCAAGCCTTCTCTTTAAACACTAGGAAACACCAGCGAAGGGGCATGAGCCTCTGCAGACACGAGTTACATGAGAAAAAAAATCGTTAAGACTGAAAGACTATATTAAACACCCAGATAATGATGAACACTGGGGGAGATCCAAGAGCAGTCTAGGGGAGAACAGATGCCTCATTTCACCATCACTGGATGGAGTCTGGCCATAGCAACGGCTTTACTGTTTCATCCAAACTAGGAGATCTTCATTAAGCATTTTCACTGCTGCTTTAACATGCAACAACACACCCAAGCCTAAACAAAGCACGACAAGAAGCGTCTGCCCCAGCCACAGAAAAGAGAGCTTAACATTTCCCACCCTGGCAGCCTGAGCTGTCTCTCCAGGGACTGGGTAGCTCAGGAGGAAGCACCACTCTGAAACAGCAAGCCATCACTTGCAGATCTCAAAATTTCATTATGCCTTTTCCACTGAAGCTTGACAATGGTGTTATAACCAAATTGCTGTTGCAGCAGTGCCCCGAGCCAGCTGCAAGGACTGCGAGCTTGAGGAGTCCAGCACTGCCAGGGAGATCCTGGAAAACCTCTGCGCCAATGATTTTGGTGAGTACCCCCTCACTCTTCCTCTTAGTTGCTGCCATTCCCTCAAGCAGCCAAGTAGTGGCACGGACAGAAAATGGTTTTGCCACAGCAAACTGACTTGGGGGAACTGCAGATTTTACAGCAGATCCCAGGGATTTTTAGGTCCCAACTTACCTGTCAGGTAGCAGAAGGGCCCAGCTCCAGGCAGCACTGAAGGTCAAGACCTGCTTTGTTTCTGGTATCGATCTGTGGCTGCTAAATACAAGCACTACTCTGGTTTTCCCTTGGAGACCAACATTTCAATCAATGCCCATAAAAACCTTTAGCAAACTCCACATTAGCTATTTCAAACTTCAACACTGTTGTTCTAGTAATGCGACTCTCCCTCTCCTGGCCCAAGCAAGCGGCAGCACTGGCTCTCCTCAATCAGCTGGCAGGAAGTTTTCAAGACACTGTCTTGAATTCAGGCACACAACCTTCACGAAATAAAATAAAATAATCCCACATTAAAAGTCCTGGGCAGCTGGCAGTCATGTCACCTCCTGAAATCCCAGCTCAGAGAAAAGTCAAGTAATTTGCACGAGACCATGACTTTGATGCATCCACTTGCTGGTGTCCCTGCTTCCTACAGGGTTTCT